GATTGTCCTGCTTAACAGGTATAATCTGCTGGTGTTCTTTAGAATTATTTAGACTTCCCATGCATTGTAGTTACAGGGACCATCAGAATCTTGTGTGCACTATTCTTAGCTCTGTTTCCTCTAAGAAAAGCTCTATTGCCCCTCTCAACTGTTATTTATTTTCTAAGTCTTCCACCTCTATCAACTTTTTTTTTATAGCTTCTGTCTGGGTTTTGGGTTGTGGGTTAACCCTGGGCAGGGTGCTCAGCACCACACAGCCACTCCCTCACTTCCTCTCCTTCTCCCCAGCAGGATGAGAGAGGAGGAAAGGCAGAGTAAATGAAAAAAAAAAAATTATGGGTCAAGATAAAAAAACCTTTAATAAACAAAGGAGAAGTGGAGAACAGAGAAAGAAAAACCAAACCAAGTGAATGCAAAACCAATCCCTTGCCACCTCCCACGAGTAGACTGATGCCCAGCCAGTTCCCAAACAAAACACATCTAACCTCCCTAAAATCCCTTCTCTCCCTTCTCATTTACTCAGCACAAGGTTCTCTGGCATGGAACATCTCTCTGCTTGGCTGGCTTCATCTGCCTGGTTATGTCCCCTTCTCTTGCACACCCCTGGACTCTTCCCTCTGGGGGTGGAGAGAAACAGGGGCAGCCTTGATGCTGTGCAGTAACCCAAACATCAGGGTGTTATCAGCAGTGTTTTAGTCACAAATCCAAATCACAGCACTGCTCAAGCTGCTCTGGAGAGAGTTAACTCCATCCCAGCCAGATTCTGTGCATTTTCTGCTGTTCAGTATGCTTGAATACTCTGCTAGGCAAGCCAGGGGCAGTGAAATACTCCTGCAACACTGGTTTTCCTTCCACTTTTATTTCAGCCTCACACAACTAACTTCAGAAGAGCTATCCCAAATTCATGCTGCTTCTAAGTGCTGAAATAAAAATACAAATGCTCCTACCATGTTACCAGTTGCATCATTATGAAGAAAGCTTTGATTTCAAAATGTGAAATATTCTTTTAAATTGTTTTATTTAATATATTGCTTGTGTTGACATATCTCCTTTTTTTTTTTTTTTTTAATCCTTCCAGCACAAGTACAAACAAGCATGGGAAGAAGACAAAAAGAAAATTCACATCACACCAGATATTCCACAGATTGCTTTAGCAAAAGTTAATGCATTTAATTTAAGTGATGTGAGTACTCTTTGTTGGTCTTATATTTTTAATTAGGAATAAGTGAGATGACAGCAGACAAAAATCTCCTTCATTCTGATTTTGTTAACCTATAGTCATTTCACAAAAAAAGCTATTAATTTTCTTCCTTTTGCAAAATTAAATACTAAAAGTTGCCAAGAATAAGCCATAGTATTTATAGTCACCTTAAGAAGTGTTCATGTGGGTCATTAAAATATAATATTTACTAAAAACATATTAATTGCAATACTGTCCATCTTTTTTACTGCTTATGTTATTTTATTTCTCCATGCACAGATTTTTGTACTGGGTTTTAAATTCTTGCAGACTGATGTGTATAAATATATGAGCCATTACACATAAGCTGAATCAATAGAATTATATTTAAGCAAGTGTGGTGTATTTTGCTTCTCTAAAGGATGTTTCTTTTCTTTCTTTCTCTCCACAGAAAATGTACAGGCTTTCATTTGAAGAAACTAGGAAGAAAGGGTATGACCTCAGAGCTGATGCTATCCCTATTAAAGCTGCCAAAGCTTCCAGGGATATTGCTAGTGATGTAAGTTCTTGAAAGAAAACAAATGATCCATTTCAGACCTTGTAAAACCTTCATTTCCTGACACAATTCAGTTTTACATGCCAAATACACAGAGTCTCTATTCTCTTGCTTGTAAATGATTCTGACATATGCAACATATATTCTAATACATTTTCTAGCAGGGTTAAAGAAGAATCTCTCTATCAGAGAGGTAAGGAGATATATGAGGGGAAAAAAAAACAAGGTGGTTGATTCCTCAGTGTGATGGTGCTTTGATATTTTATAAACATGTTTTATGTTCATAGTTTAGAGATCATTCTTAGCCAGAGATCATTCTTAGGAATATTTGAAAAGAACAGAGAATGGACTTAGATGATTTTTTTTCTGTTGTGGTACAGTCATCTTTATACCTTTGGTGAAAGTCCTATTCAATCTCTTGGTCCAGAGAATGCAAGTATCCAGAATTGGGACCATTCTGAAATCTTTTGTACACCAGTGATGAGGAATTTTCTGTGGTAGGGGCAAATCCAGGCTGAGAGAGAGTTGAGGTGTGGGCCCACAGTTTTTTTCTTTTTAACAACTTAAGGGATATTGCTGCCACTGCCAAGTCAATTTGTCTGTCACTGCTCTAAGTCTGAGGGGAAGATCCTTCCATTCTGAGTTCTCTCCCAGCAGTAATCAGTGAAGGAAAACAGAATTGATACTTGGTCTGTGTAGTTCACTGTCCAGGTGATTAAAGATTGAGGAAGGGGTTAAGAACTTGACCTACTGATTTTATTGAATGCAAAAATGCAGGAGATATTGGGAAGTGTCTTGAATTTTTTAATCATTTGAATAAGTGAACCTAATGGAAGTGATGATTAGATCTTTGATTTTATCATTAATCTTCAGATATGAACACAAATATTCTGAGTATGGTGCAGACTACCACAAAAATATTTACCTAAGCCAAATGTTGGAGGCAAGACAGTAATAGTAACAGAGAACTGTGGGGGTTAATGTACCTTGTTTCTAGTGTTTGAGAAAGCTCATCCTAGAGCTAATACAGGTATCTAAACCAGAGTGTGAAAAGAATAAAAATACAGTTTTTTTCCAGAGAACTGTCTTCAGCAAATCAGATCTTAGCTGTTCCTTTGCCTTTTGGTTTCTGTCAGTATGTTTCATTGTGCCATTTATAATGATATTAGAAAGCAGCTGAAGCTCAGGTTACATTGAACCTTACAGAGGAGCAGAGTGAACTATTGTAAGGAAATTTCATTAATTAAGAAAGTGTTTTAAATATACTCCTTTTAAAAGGGACACTGGACATCTGTTTTGCTTTGGGGTGCACCCTAAGAATAAGTGGACAAAGCCACCACCTCTATACGCTTTGTGATGTTCTCTTAACCATGCAAAAATCTCATTTCAGTCTAAGTTTTACATTTTTCCCCCTTACGAGATAGAGATTTCTTATTAAATGAAACAGAACTGAAGCTCTTGTCTCTGTTCTCCTTGCAGTATAAATACAAATTAGGTTATGAGAAAGACAAGGGAAGACTCGTAGGCTTCCGCAGCCTTCAGGACGATCCCAAACTCGTCCATTACATGCAAGTGGCTAAGCTGCAGTCTGACAGGGAGTACAAGAAAGCTTATGAGATGAGCAAGACCCATTACCAGACGCCCTCCGACGCCCTCAGCATCGTGGCAGCCAAGGAGGCCCAAGATCGTGTCACCAACACCAACTACAAGCGCCTGATCCACCAGTACATGCTTCTACCTGATGCCATGAGTTTGGAGCTGTACAGAAACATGAATCAGATACAAAGTGATGTGAGTTTCTCTTTTCTTCCTCTCATTCACAGCTGGGGTTTCCCCCCCCCCTCCTGTTTTTTCATCACAGATGAGTTTTGGAAACGACAGAATTATTTTGTGTGAGCCATTTGTTAAATTGTGGACTTTCCTTTTGCATTCTGTTTGGTAGAATGAGTATAAGCAGGACTACAACGAGTGGTTCAAGGGTATTGGTTGGAGTCCTGCTGGTTCTTTGGACGTGGAGAAATCAAAGAAAGCCACAGAAATTGCAAGCGACCGGAAATACCGCCAGCACCCCAGCATGTTCCAGTTCACAAAACAGAACGATGCCATGGACCTGGTCCTGGCCAAGCACAATGCAAATATAATGAATAAAGTGAGTATTTATGGGGGAAGAGAGGCAGACATTCACACAGGATCCATTTCAGTGAACAGTCTTGAAGTCTCTTTCACCACCTTTATGTAGAAGTGTTGCCACTTATAGGTCCCATTCTTAATTTTTTTAATTTATTTTTTTTAATGAAACAGTTACTGATAAATGGCATCAGTTAAATATTCATATTAAATATTTTACTCTTCTCACTGCATCCTCTCCAACCTCTATTCTTCCCCTTCTTGCATAGAAATTACTGGCCCTGAAAATCTTGATTTTGTTAGAAGCATGACTGGATCCTAACTCAGCTGATTCTGGAGTAGATCATTACATAATTAAATAAATCTAAGGCAGCACCTTTGTCTTTTTACCCATCCCTGTCCAAAGTGTGCAAATGGAAAGGTGAAAAACCTGAAGGAGCCATCTTTTGTCATGTATACTAACACATCTGATGTGGCTTTTTTCAATAGCATGCTTATACTCAAGCTTGGGAGAAGGACAAAACTAAAGTTCATGTCATGCCAGATACACCAGATATTCTACAGGCCAAACAGAACAAGACAAACTACAGCCAGGTAGAGTTTTTTAATACTTCTTATTACATTTTAAATTAATATTTGCTTTCTTTCCATTTAAAGATGCCTCTAAGTTAAAAAAAAGTAATTTTTTTTAAGTTAGAAGAAATGGAGTGGGGGATTTAAAACAGAGGCAAGAATTTTTATATGTGAGTAATATTTGCAGAGCAGCAATAAGCACCATCCTCAGCCTAGCAAGGTAACAGCCTAACTACCTTGTCTGCAAAAGTGACAGTTGTGGCAGTATAGAATACTTAAGTTTTGCTTTGCACAATTCCTCAGAGGCAAATCTTTGACTTGCAAGTACTGGTACTTAAAATCAACGGTGCACAAACTGAATTGACTATTAATTAGCTACATTACAGCCTTATTAATTAACATTTTATTAAACCAATTAAAAAGCTTTCCATTATCCCGGATGTATATGTTTCAAATTGCCCACATATGTTTCAGATTCCCCAGATATGTTTCAAAACCCCAAGTTAAGCTAGAGTAGAAAGCTGCTGCAGTAAAGAAAAAGGAAAAGACCTGGAAGACCTGGTGTTCCTTGCTCACCAGTTCCCATTCTGGTAGCACTTCTCTTGTAACTGAAACCTCTGAGGTGACCAGAATTTGGTAATATGGATCATTAGCATATCTAAATAGAAGGTGATATATGTATTACTGACTTTTAAACTAACATTGTTTTCAATTTTAGAAACAATACAAGCTTGGCTGGGAGGAAATGATAAAAAAAGGCTATGACCTGACACCAGAAGCCATTTCAGTGAAAGCTGCCAAAGCTTCAAGGGACATTGCAAGTGATGTAAGCAATATTTCTAATTCAGTATGACATACATTTTATCTAGTTGCTTTAATTTAGAGTTGCCCTAGATGGAGAAACACCTCACTGCTAAGGTGTGGCTTGGAGTAGAAAGGAAATCTGCTGACAAAACTCTTTCCTGAACTGTTCTTGTCAGTGACGAAGATTTAAGAAGGGTTGGTCTGGCAGCTTGACAATTCCAAAGATTGTTGGTCCACCCATGAAGTGGCTGATCATACAAAGTTAGGGGTTGTCTGCTCTTTTGGATGCTGTGTTTTCAGAGCAGCAGTAATTTGGTCTGATTAGCAGCTTTTTTACACCCTCTTTACAGCTCTGATCCAGCCATGGTGACACGTGTAGTGATCTTATCATCCCTTGCTATGAACGCAACACCAGCATTGATGGAAGAGATTTTATAAATCATTAGGAAATGTTTCCAATGCTAAAGCATCTGCATTTTTTTCGTTGCTGATTATTTTATCATTCAAAATATTTCAGTGTGTCAGCCTTTGGGACTTCTGAACAGTATGACTGTGAATCAGGTGGCAGAGGAGACCGTTCTTACAGCCACGTGATGCGCATTAATCAAACTTCACATGAGATGCCATAAAAGTTGCTCCTCTCATTGGCAATGAGAAACATTGAACTGACAAAATATACTGATATTTTGCTTATCTATTTTAGCACTTTCTGTTTCTGAATGTAATTTCCATAATGCACTCTTTATCATTTCAGTACAAGTACAAATACAAAGAAGGATACCGCAAGCAGCAGGGACATCACATCGGATTCCGCAGCTTACAGGATGATCCTAAGATGCTGTGGTCCATGCAAGTAGCAAAGATGCAGAGTGAGAGGGAGTATAAGAAAGACTTTGAAAAGTGGAAGACAAAGTTTAACATGCCCGTGGATATGCTGGGCTTCCTTCTGGCTAAGAAATGTCAGGAGTTGGTTAGTGACATAGACTACAAGCACAAACTACACCGCTGGACTTGTCTGCCAGACCAGGTGGATGTCACCGAGGCAAAGAGGGTCTATGAACTACAGAGTGATGTAAGCTTCCTCTGGATTTAAATATTTACTGTTTATTGAGAAATATGTTTAACAACTCTCTTCTGATGTCAGTAAATATCACGTTGAAGCTAGGATACCATTCAGTCTTTTAATATGGTTTAATAAATGAAGAGGGAAATAACTTACTGTGGGTTTGATTTCTTCTTTTTCCTTTAACAGAATCAATACAAGTCAGATCTACAATGGCTCAGAGGCATTGGATGGAGTCCTTTGGGGTCCTTGGAATCTGAAAAGAACAAGAAAGCTTCTGAAATACTGAGTGAAAAGAAGTACAGGCAGCACCCAGATACCATTAAGTTCACAAGCATCCCAGATGCCATGGATGTTGTTCTAGCCAAATCTAATGCCAAAAATAGGAGTGATGTAAGTTGCTTCTACTGTCAGAACATGTGGTTCAATAAATGAATACATTAGCAAACATTTGTTGAAAAGTTATATTGCTGTATAACTTATTCAGCAAAAACTACAAATAAGACCCTTATTATGTGGGATGTAAATGTATTGTTGTGATGCTGTTTCCTTGACATTTCATGAATGTAAAAAAGAAAAAAAAAGGTGGTATTTCAGTAAAAAGTCTTTTATTCCTTGATTTGAATACTTTGTGCTGTTTACAGTGCTCACACTTGCATACTACATCTTTGCTTTGCTAGTGTAGAGGAAAGGTAAATGGAATTTACTGCTGTGCACGTGAGGCTTTTCTCAGACACTGTGGTTTTGTTTGTCTCTCTTTTCAGAAACTCTATAGAGAAGCTTGGGACAAGGACAAGACTCAGGTTCACATCATGCCTGATACTCCTGAAATTTTGCTGGCTAAATCCAACTTAATTAATGCAAGTGATGTAAGTGTGTCTCCATGGTGTTTCCTGTATGGAATTTGGATTGCTTATTGTGCCTTTAGTTTAAAAAGCAATAGAGTAATTCTTCAATTCTAACAGCTGTAAGCACACTATGATCTTTTCCTGTGAAAATGGTCATGCACTAGAAATCCCAAATGGAATTTCTAAAATATAAAGTGGAAGCAGAGTTGCTAGAACATAAAAAAATAGCAAGAAAATATTCAGCACAAGTCAGTAGTTTTGTCTTTTATCCCTGCTGATCATATGAACATTGTAAGCCTGACATTCTTGCTAAAATGCCTGATTATATGGAATTGCCTTTTTAGAATTACAAAGGATTCTGTAATTTCCATCAAAATCCTTGTTAGTGGAACAAGTACAGACTATATCTAAAAACAAAGAAATGTCAGCTCTATCATAAGAACTCAAGAAGTCTGTAATTTCCATCAAAATCCTTGTTACAATGGAACAAGTACAGACTACATCTAAAGACAAATGTCAGCTCTATCGTAAGAACTGAAGAATGCAAAAATAATTCCAATTAAAATTGTGTGCAGCAAATCACATGGTGTTATTCACCTCTGTAGAAGACTATGAATCATTCAGATGATACATATTAACTAAAAGAAAATTTTGATCTAAAAAGAGTTAATCTGAAAACATACAGATAGTAATTTTCAAATATTTTATATCCTCTGTTACAAAATACATATTAAAAGCAAGCTGTGGTATTTGAGGAATGAAACTGTGTTTGGAACCTGATGCTTTATTCTCAATAAGTCAGGGGTTGAAAGCTGTAGTATTGAAAAACTCCCTAGAGAGCTTTATTGCCAATAATTGCTTTGAATCTTTCTCCAACAGAAACAGTACAAGTTAGGCTATGAGGAGCTGAAGAAGAAAGGCTATGATCTTCCTCCTGATGCTATACCTCTCCAGGCAGCAAAGGCATCCAGAGACATAGCTAGTGAAGTAAGTCTTACAAAGTGAAAATAGTAGTGGGATATATGGAGCACAACTTGGATAAAAAAGTTTTTTTATTTAAAAGGAGGAGAGGACTAAAATATTAAGAGTCTTATATTGGTGTTGACATCAGAGGCTAATTCTCAGTGATACAGAATTAATTAAATAAAAAAATTTAGGAATAAAAAGATAATAAATATGATGATTTAATAAAATGTACGATGAGATTGTATACAACTATAGAATATTAGTTCATGTCTTCTGGACATGCAATAAAACCACTAAAAAAAGCAGGGAAGATATGCCCCCCTTAAATTAACCACTTTATATGAAAAAAAAGACACATCTATGGCAACTTAAAAGAATTAATAATTATTCCTTCTGCATTCAATTAGTACAAATACAAAAGCGCGTACCGCAAGCAGCTCGGGCACCACATCGGCGCCCGCAACATCGAGGACGATCCCAAGATGATGTGGTCGATGCACGTGGCCAAGATCCAGAGTGACAGGGAGTACAAGAAAGCCTTTGAGAAGTCCAAGACAAACTTCAGTACCCCAGTGGACATGCTGGGAGTCGTGCTGGCCAAGAAATGTCAGGAGCTGGTCAGTGATGTTGACTACAGGCACCCTCTGCACCGGTGGACCTGTCTGCCAGACCACAACACAACAACGATTGTGTCATTTCAAAACAAGCCTATGAGCTACAGAGTGATGTAAGTTGTTCTTTACTGGCTGTGTGAAAATGAGACGTGTCTCTTATCTTGTGTTGCTTTGCTGGAGAGGTGCAGTTAGGAACAGAAGTCTAGGCTGCTTCTCTGAACCTGTGTTGTGCCTGTGCTATCTGGCTGAGAGTTGGTATTGTGAACAATCATAGCCTGAAGCTTCTTGGAGGCCATACATTATGGTCACAGGAGAGTCCTGTCCTGCCTGAAGATTTTTGAAGGAAGCATTTCAGTACATTGTGGAGTTCTGCCTAACAGGGGAAGGGCAACAGAGAAATATTTTCTTCTGCAGGACCAACTGTCTGCAAACTTAAGCCACGCATGCAGTGGTGAGTGCTCTGAAGAGCATTATGTTGCCTGGAGCGAGGAGGTTGCTGAG